CCCTTATGGGTATAACAAGTTTATTTCCATTTGGTACTTGTTTAGAGAGCGATTAAAATGTTTGGCATAATTCTTTATAAAGACATAAAAAAAAAAAAAAAAAAAAAAAAATTGTTACATAGCCAGTAAACGTTTTGTTGTGATTATTGTATGAGGAATTTACAAGTGTGCTTAGTAATACTATGACATATTTTAATTGTTTGTTAAATGAACATATAGAATGTTTTTAAAAATGAATAATACTACACATACATTATTTTTATACAACATTTTTCATACAATATTATCTGACAAGATATGATTCACTAATTTAAAGTTAAAATTTAATTTTCACCTAATCATATCTTGCCATATAATGTTGTATGAGAATAATATTTGTATAGTATTATTCTTTAAAAATTATTTTCCATGAAATTACTTTTATTGAAAAATTATTTTCCCCTACATGAGGTCGAGGATTCGGATAGCTCATTAGTGGTAATATTTCAACTTTCAAGTGATGGTGCAAGCTTCTGATTTCATTTTCGTTCCATTAAATTTCACCAACTATATAATATTTTATAATTATTGTTATTTAATTACTGCTTGGGGACAGTTTCGTATTCTCTTGGACTTTGGGCTTGTACCAAAGCTTGCACCCATCAGTGCACTTAGCAAAGCCCAAGGGTAGCAGTTACTGGGTAACTACCCAACAGCAATTTCCTAATCTCTTATAAATTAATTAGTTGGTTCCATTTTTTAATTAAGGGTTAACGGATGAACACAATAATCTAAAGAAATTGCAAAATGGCAAGAAAACAACAAGGAAAGCTTTATAAAGGCAACGTCAGCTTCAGATCCTAGCCATCGGATAGATTATACAGTTAAGGATCAAAGCACATGCCCCAGTTGCCAGGTGTCATGACCATAAGACCCACACACCGCAACAGTTATGGTGCGATAGACGCATAAATGCATTCTCGTCAACTGCACACTTGCCATAATCGTCACAGATGTGATAGAACAGTAATTTCAAAGTTCAACAACCCAAAAGGTTGTGACGTAGAAGCCAAACCCTAGAGTGAAAAAAGCAACAATGTTGTAGTATTGAGAGATATAATTGGTTCACAGAGACATCACTATGACCTTGCAAACCGAGGTGCCTAAGTAGTATCCAAATTTCCCTGGGGCAAAACAATAAAATCCTAAATTGATATGCTTACTCACTAATTAAGCAATCTAAAGGATTTCTCTCCAAAATAGGAAATAGAATTATGATTAAAGAGAGAATCTATGGGAAAGAGGAAAGTGAGTTGAGTTAGAGAGTGAACAAGGACTAGATTCAATCCGAAAAGGGAAAAAGATTTTGCATTCTCTTAAAACTCCAAGAATCCTTATACAACCTCAAATCCTACCGCGGCAAGGAAAGTTATTCTCTAAACCCTATTCTATTTCACCATATAAAGGAGGCTAAACGACATAGAATGATCACTTTGAGAAAGTCTTGTACTTGAGCATTATGTATTGAAGTTGATTGTCATCAGAATTAGACTTTGCCCCTGTTCTAACCCTACGATCATGCAGGTGCCTCTGTAGTTCTTTTGCAGGGCAAAGATTGGTGTTGCATCAAACAATTGAGTCAAAGACAAAAGAGTCAATGAATCCAAGGGTAGAAGCGTAAAGGCACTGTATTCCAAAGGGCAAGACAGTAATCATGTGTTTGGTGTGAAATTGGACATCAACAATGGTTTTGTTTAATATCATAATTTGTGTGAATTAAAAAAAAAAACAATAATTTTATGAATTCTAATTTTTAAAATTTATTAGTCCCTAGGCTGTATGGTATGCATTTAGTAATTATTGTATTTAATTTACATTTTTAACAAATTAATTGGTTATATAAATAAGTAGTATATAATTATTGGGCACCAGACAATATGAAAAGAAGTGAGGAATTGAAATTTTAAGAAAATGGTATGAAGTGATTAAAATTTTCAGGTTAATTGATAATTTATTGTCTCGACTATATTAAGAAAGTAAGAGTGAATAGCCACACCACAACCATATGTACTTGTGTGTCAACTAAAAAAGGGAAGTCTTGAAAATTTCATAATTGAATTGATTTTGTGGGGTGCGTTTATGAAGGACGATATCTCTTAATTGGGAAAATGTTGAGGAAAAAGAAGTTTCTTTTATGTTAAACCGTAGACCCCCGAGGTATGATATAATAACAAAAATCCCCCTGACTATTCTTGATTTTTTGTTATTTTTATTAGTTATGTAAATGTTTACATATGAAGCGGGTGGTCCCCTTGGGGGTTGGGGTAAGCCTAAAATGAGTAGTGATGAATTATAATCAAAGGGGTCTAAGCTCACGTGTAGGGTTCAATGCATTTGATATGGTAAGCATGATAATGTTAAAAAAAATTCATGATTAGCCATGCAGGGATTGGTATTATGTGATATGATTAAAATGAGCTCACAAAGTTAATGAGGTCATATTCATATATCATGGTTTTAACAGTGGGTCATCAAAAATTTCACCAATCATAAAATTACCATCACGTGTCTAACATCAATGCTGTCCAATCATAATTCATGGGTCAATTACTTATTTACGTCACGGGTGAAGCAATCAACTCTTTTTTTTTTTTTTTTTAAAAGGTTAGGTTAGGTTATTACCCAGTTGGATTGGTTGTGCATAATTGTATTTACAGAGAAAGTAGAAGAAAAAAAATGATGATGATGATGAAAGAGTAGTGATGAATGCCTATCTGCGGCCATGCAAATCTCTTGAGCACTGCCATACACATTTAACCCTCTTAAATCATGAAACCAAATTTCTTTTTTCATTAAGGGTGACTCAAATATTGCTGCAAAAAGCAATTTAAGACACATTAATAATGGGGTTTTGCCATCATTGGTTTTTTCAGACGAGATTTATAACCCTATCCTCCCATTTGCCTCCCTATGTTATGTTTCTTTAGAAGATTCTACACCTCACTTTTATTTTCTGATCTCGGAGAGGCCCATGGATTGGAAACCCATAATAGGCTAAATAAACGAGCTCCATGAGGGGGAAGAGAAATAAGTTGACTATTTTGCCCATACAACACCACCTGTCAACCATGATGCTTCACGTTAAGGCACTCATAGCTGAGGCTGGCTGTGGCTGGCCCAACTCTCTTCCAACCCATTATTATTTCAAGCTCACCATAAATTTGGCCAAAATTTGCTTAACTTATGATGATTGAAATAACGTAAAACAAAACATCATCAATGGTGCAAATCTGTTTGGTCATTCCAACCCAAAACTAAACAGTAAAAGATCTTTTTGACCAAATTTATCTAGCAAGTATAGACTAATAATACTATAGAGCAATATAATACATGTGAAGCCATAAAAGCCCACTTGGTTTTAGTGTCTCTATGCAAAAACCGCCATTTAAAGTTTCAACATTGCATTACGGCAAAGAATGATTATTACCAACAGTTGCCAAACCAAGCAATAAAACGAAGAAAGCAAGGGAAGGGTCTAAACAAGAAGAAGATGTGAAGAAGTAAAACAAAAGCGAATTGATTATGGGGTAGAAGAAGGAGTGTGTTGTGATGATGGTTAGAACCAATCCAAACCATCATTGCGAATCTTGGGACGGCCTAGCTCACCATCATTTTACAAGCCCTAGCCGAAAAAACTAAAATCCCATAATTGTCCTTCTCACACCCATAAAGACGAAAATACCCTTGACCCATCATCATTCACATGACGCCATACCCATCATCATACAAACCAAAACATTAAATCCTCGCCCCTAACCGGCCGCCTTCCATGCTTACAAATGCATGATTGTTGTGTCAGAGGAGAGAGGCTTTTCCTCTATATATTTACTTCTCTGTTTTTTTCACTTTCTCCCTCACTTCACAAACACAATTTACTCTTTTCTTTTAAAACAACTGCAAACTAAACTAGCTGTTAGCTTAGCTTAGCTTATCTTGGCTTCCTCGGCCACCTTCAACTTCAAAAAGGTGATCTTTTTTGAAAGGATAGAGAGTGACTCTGTTTCTCTCTCTCTTTTTCTTCTGTTTTCTTTCGTTTACAAGGTTAGACATGGTTTCTATGTCCACTACTACAACAACTCAAGAGACGATGTTGGGAGTTGGGATTTTCTTTACTTTGTCTTGTTCACCTCATTTTGAGGAGGGAATGTTTGCTTTTCAAGTGTTTCTCCCTTGGATTCTACAAATTTCTTTTTCATAGCTTCTTTGTCTTTCTCTACCTCTCTCAACTTGTGTTCTTTTACTTTCTTCTGTCTTTTAACAACTTTCGGCCCATTCTTTTTATAATAAGAGAACACAGTGGTACATTCTATTCTTTGCACAATCATACAAGCCAAGAATTACATCTACTTATAGATATCTAGCATACTTAAGTAAATGCAGACACAGCAAAACATCAGGCTGCTGTTGGTCTTCTTATCAATCTTTATCCTTTTCTTTCATCAATGGGCACGCAGCCGAAAGACTCCATTTTTTCACAAGTAGAGATTTTGACAACTGTTTTTCCAGCTCCACATCTCTCCCATTTGCTCTATTAATAGCTACGGTGGTCCATAAATATTCACTTCTTCTTTACCCTTCACTTCCCCTGCTCTCCCCTGTAGCTATGAGTTTCCTACTCAACTGTTAAATTACCTCTATCAAACATATTTTACATGTTATAACATTTTTTATTTTGAATATTTAGATATTTGATTCAGTTGCCTCAGCTCTCCTTCATTGTTTTTCACTCTTTGGGTAATTTTTTTTTTTTTTTGTTTGCAGTGAGCAGTATTTTTTTTCCTTTTAACAGTTGCAATTTTTTTTTCTATTATGGATATTATATTTTATTTATTAGCGTACGGATTTGAATATATTCTTAGTGTCTGGTTGTGTGGTAGAATAATTTATGCGACAATAAAGAATGTTAGCTAAAATACTGATTGTTGACACTGGTGGTTTTGTTTGCAGAAAAGTTCGAAAACTTTACAATATTCAGAGTGATGGAAAGACTGAACTCAAAGCTGTACTTACAGAACTGCTATATTATGAAGGAAAATGAGAGGCTAAGGAAGAAAGCACAGCTTCTCAACCAGGAGAATCAAGCACTACTATCTGAACTGAAACAGAAATTGGGGAAGGGAAATTCATCAAAAGGAAATGCTCCAAATAATATTCCTGACCTCAACCTCTGCTCCACCTCCAACCCAAATCCTGCCAAATCTAGCAAACCATGATTCAGCTAAGTAGATATCATGACCCCGCTGAAGAATCCCCTAGCCTTCTTTTTTTGTGTAAAACCATAGTCAAACACTAGTGTAGTTCTAGTTTCAGTTAATATAGGACAGTAGTAGTACTTTGCTACCAGGTTTACTTTTGCTTCTATTTTCATCTTGGATACATCTTTCTTTTCTGGGGGTTTAAGATATGGATTTCTGAACCACAAAGATGTATCAGGCTATCTGCTAGAGATAAATATGATATTATTGTTATCACTCTCTCTCTCTCTCTCTCAATATACATTAGAATAAAACAGCACCTTAATAACTTGGTAACGATAAAAGAATGCAGCTCTCAAGAAGATAAAACAAAATGCAGAGTGGCCAATGGTCAAAGTGATAAATGAAATTGTGTATTCTATTTCTATAGAAATTAATATATTAGCAATATTATGCCTGAGAACTGTAGAATCCACTTAACAAAAGGTGGAAGGGTAAGAAGCATAAGTTGGCTTGAAATGTTTCAAGTAAACCCCAACGGAGCACAATTTTTTGCAGACTAAAAATTGCAAAGATATTAGAAAAATAAGAAAATGGGCTTGTCATTCAGATTCTGTGTGTGATGGGAGGATCTAATCAAAGGTAACGTCATCAGATTCAAAGGAGAAAGTCAATGAGGGTTCATTAAGTTTGGAAAAAGTAACTCACAAAATCAAATTCATAGACATGACATAGCCTTATAGCATAAGCTGGTTGACCACAAAAATAAGAGATTTTTCTGTATGAGATAACATAAAGAATGTCTTATCATCAAACTCAATGAATATATCTAAGACTAATGCCCTTAAAACTTCATGAGGCCACTCATCACACAACAACTTAGCAACAGCAAGTCAATGAACAAGCTGAAAGGACGACCTAGCTAGCAATCATGACTAATATCTCTTTAGAAGATCCAGGGAAGGGTAAGCTGACTGCAGGATTTCAATCAAACAATACTAATATAAAAGATTTTAATGTGATTCCAAAGTATTACAATACTTATTTATTTTGTTAAATAAGCAAACAATGTCAATAAGGAAGAGAACCCCCTTTTTAATGTTAAGAGAGACAATTGAAGTAACAATTTGATTATTCTATTCTGGTAAGACTCTGCTTTTATTATTATTATGTACTAATTCAATATTTATTAACTCAATCTTATTCATTAAATTAATACAAATTTGACGGTTTTTTAGTTACGATTTTTAATACTTAAAAGAGAGATTGAAAAACTATAATAAAATGTTTTGAAATTGCTTTGATTTTAAAAATCTCTAATGTTATGTTTGGTAAAATAAAATACATTTTTCAATTAATTTTATATAGTTTATTTTCCAAAATATTCTATAATTATTTATAAAATTGTATGATGTTTTTATAATGTTGAAACCATGAATTCCAGCCGAACCACCAGGAACAACACCAGCGATGTCGCCAAATGTGCCATTCCGGCAACCGTCAACAATGTCTCACCGATGTTAACAGTGGTAGTCCAACACCCACAGTGACTGCTACTATTCATCTGTTTTATTTGAAAAGTGTACGTATTTAGTTTATTAATTAATTTTTTAAGATAAGATTATAGTGTAATTTAAAAAATTATAGAGGGGTATATTTGTAATTGCCATATTAAAAATAATTTGATTGTGAAAGACTTACCTTTGGAATCTTTTTATAAAACTGATTGTTTTATAATCAATTTTAAACTTTTTAATCAGTTATATATTTGTTGTTGTAGCTTAAAATTTTAAGTAATTAAGACCCTCCTTGTTTTTTCAACTTAATTTGTATGTTTCAGTCTTTTTGGTGTGTTTGTTTTTTAACTTAATTGTCACTTTTTTTCTTAAATTCACTGAATTGAATATATATTCACTTAATGAGCAGTTATCTGAAAAATTTATTTTAATTGTGTTGATAATAATTATACCATTTACAAACCATTGTTTCAATTTTCTCCTTGTGGGCTAACATTTTTTACTTCAAAGTTTATGCTTTTATGATTGAACTCCTTGATCAAGTATTTTAGCTCAACTAGGTTTCACTACCTTAGATATTTATTTATTTTTCATTTTTTTTAAGCTAGAATATTTTATGCTTCAGTTTTAAATATTATTATTCATTTATGTTGAGCTCTTATATGTTTTGATGTGTCAAAACTAAACAATGTGTAAAGGTATGACATAAGCCATAACCTTAAAATGAAAATGCAATTTTCCAATCCGTTCCCTTTCAGTTCTAATTAAAAATAACTCACAATCAAACCGTTCCAAGAAGGAACAACATTGTCCCATGATGTCGTTCATCAATCTGCCAAATTGAAGCCAACTTCTTGTCAAGTCATTCCAAATTGAACACCTTATTTCGTCAAGTTGTTCCAAACATAACAGAAGACTTATTCGAAGAGGTTGACACACACTCGCTATCTAAAGAAAAACGATCATTCCACATGAATGATGTTGTTCTATCATGTCGTTCATGATTTTGGAATCTTGACACTTTTTGCGATCTGAAGAGGAATGTCCATTTCATAAGAGGAATGCCTGTTCCAAGTTCAAGTTAAGATTTTAGACTTAAAATATTTGGAGCTCAAGCCAAGGTTTTGGAAATTTCAAGCCAAATAAGAATAACCATGATAAACACCTGTTCTTAGAAATTATGAAGTCATTTGAAAGAAGGAACAACATCATTCCACGAAGTTGTTCATAGTTCTAGAATTTTTGGACTTTAAGAGATCCAAGATGAAACGCCCGTTCGCGATAGGGGAATGCCTGTTCGTAATAGGGGAACGACTAGTCCAAACCTTATTTTCAAAGAAAAGTGCATGTTCCCGATAATGGAACACATGCTCCCTAGGTTATGTAGTTTTGTAGAAAGCTGTAATAGTGTATTAAATGAAACATGGACTCTAATTTATTTCAAGGGTAATGAAGACATAAATAGAGAAAGTTTATTGCAAGAGAAAGAGAGAGAGATATTAGTGCAACAATCAATCATCATTATTGAAAAGCCTAGAGCCCAATCTTGAACATAATTTACTCTCTCATTTGTACTCAAACTTGTATCCTTGGAGAGAAATTCAAAACCCATTGTGTATATCAGCCTAGCTTAGAGGCAAACAATCACAAACATATTTTTCATTCATATTGGAAGCGAAATCTTGTAAATCTAGAGGTGAAATCCTGTTAAACTGTTGTATCAGCAAAATCCAATTTTAGTGAAACTTTAAGGAAGTTCCCTTGAAGAAATGAATGTAGGAGACTATTGATTAAAACTCCGAACCACTATAAATCCCGGAACATCTTTTTCTCTCGACTCATTTAATATTTCTTGCATATTTAATGCTTTCATTTATTGTTGTTGGTTGTCCCTGCATATTAGGGTTTTACAATTTAGTATTGAATTAGTTGGAAAAAAATTGGAAATTTTAATTTTGATATAATTTAGTTTATATTTTTGACAAATTATTGGTTCTTGTATTATTTATACTAATAGAACTTAAAACATTTTTTAGGTATAATATAAAGGGACATATATGTCCCAATTATATTTTAATATATTTTTATGTTAAAAAACATACAAATTAACACTTGTAACCAAACTATAAAAGTAAAAAAAACAAACGTATCATTCAGATTTAACTATTTAAATCTATTCAATTTATAAATTAATTCAGTTCTATTCAGTTTTCCAATTAAAAAATAAAACACCAATTAAGTCTGAAGCTACAACAATATATGTTTTGACAAATAAATTATTCTCAATGATTGAATATAATCGGTATATGAATATCCAACACTTTCCACTAAACTTTTTTAATTTAATCATGTTTTAGAGTTGAGTTACCTTTTGCCCCTCAAGGTGTTAGATTTAACAAGGAAAACTGACGACAGGTATACTGAAGTTAGAAAAAAGAAAGAATCTTTAGCATCTCTCGACCGAAAAAGTAAAAACTAAAGCAACAGAGTAAGCTTTTGAAAATGTAAATAACATAAATAAATAAAAAATTAATAACTTAACATAAGGTTTTCATTTCCCGTTGCTACTGAATTAGGCCCATATGCATGCAAATCAATTTCTTCCAAAGATTTCATACGTTCAAAGTTCAATTCCATGAACAATATCCATTCCAACATTTGCAATTCTCTGTTCTGTAGTTATACAAATCCGGCTTCGTGATTGGAAAAAGAAGCCATACGAATGCCACGATTCCAGCTATGAAGGCTACAGTCACTAGTCCTGAAAATAATAGAATGAAGAACAGGTGAGCTTGGCAGAAATGAGTATCAAGGGATTTAATTCTGTTATGAAATGTTACAATCGGTTCACGACACAGTTCCGAATACCAAATTCCACAAGGCAATATGGTAGACTTGAAATACCAAAATCACAATCTCGTCCAAAAGATGTGAGCTATGTTTTTAAGTAAAAACCACTGACAGATTATATAAAAGAAACCAAATTTGCCCCAAACCATGGTAAAATGCCAGTTAAGCTTCTTTTGATTACCAAAAAGAAACTAATTTTATTAAACAAAGATTTATCAATGATTACAAATCTACACTCTCTCCGGTAATAAACAAAATATGGTTCACTTGCGTTACTCATACCTCTCCTCCTGGCAACCATCACAGGCAATCCCATGAAATTGCAAAATACATGAGCAATTAATGGCGCAACAAGATGCCCTGCAAAGAATAAATGTAGTACATCATGGAGGTTGAAGATATACCAGACAGATGATAAACTAAGCAGCCGAATAAAAAAGAACAAACTAGTCTATTATATTAGTGAAAGTATAGCAAGCATTGACCACTAAACAGCACCAGATTTGGCCCTACACTATAATCTTGTCCGTGTCAACCATAAACTCTGACTATTGGAGATTTTAGCAAGCCTAGATAGCCCTTCTTAAGGTCATAATTCAAAGACATAAGGAAATCTTTTGTGAAGGTAAAATCTCTACCTACCAAATATGAAACTATTCTAGACACCATAAATGGCCACTTTTCCAAGAACTGCTCCCAGAAAACCTAAGTTGTCATATTTACTTACATGGACATTAATGAAATTATTTATGAAGTAATTGCTATACACATCTGAATAGCTTAAAGGATTAAGATATTGTATGCAATTGTTTTACACAAATTCTTAATAGTTTAAAAGTATGAATTCTTTTAATTATAATCTCAGGCCTGAAACCCTTCTGCTATAAATCATAAACTAATCATTGGTGTCTAAGCATCTAAGATCTCAACTTAAAATCTCATGAAAGATTAACAACACCAGTTAACTCCCTATAAGAGCAACAATTCATACAGCTGTATGTAAATCTTTGACACAGTTACATCAAGATATACACATTAAACAAATGAATTAATTGTTCATGTCAATTCAAAACTTCTAAAAACCAGGAATTGAAGACAAAATGTAATAAGTAGATGTTAACAACCAATTACTTACCTGTCTGCACAAAGAGAAAAGAAGCATACCAACCAAAGACGACTGTGTAGCCAAGTTGAAGACCTGACATATATAATTGCATTAGAAAACAAGATATTGATACATGGTAAATATCAGATATCATTTATATTCAACAACAAAAAACATAAATAAAAAAATTCAAACTCAGAAACACGAGTACTTCAAGAAGATAAAAAAAGCAAGCTATTCAAATAACAAACTGACATTTAGCTATACATGAAAGCAAGAAGATTAGTACATACCTACAGCCATGGAAGCTTTTAGCAAGCTATAGTTTTGAGATCTATAGATTTCCATTAAGTGGTTCAAATGAGCTGCACGATAAGGATCAAAGACAGTAAGACTATTCCAAGAACAAATTCACCTTAGCATGAAATTTGGTATATGAAAGAGAAATATTATACAAATATATGTAACAGATGCTGAAACAAGAAACACATGTATGAACTATGGCAAAGTATTAGAATCCATTCAATGAATTGCTTTTGAGAAACTGTTTGGCAGACAAAAATGAGAAATTTAATTTTGCATTCTTGAAACCTGAAAAAGTTTCTAGTAGTTAATTTTTAAAACAAAGAAGAGGCAAACAATGACAGTGTTCAGCAGTAATATTATGGAGAATTAGCGGACAGATTTGAGTGTTTTTAAAAATTTTGCTTCCCAAAACATACAAAACCACAAATATTGAGTTTAACACTAAATTTCAGAAGCTAAATTTTGTCATTATAAATTCTCTTTTCCAAGTGCCACATGAATATTTTCTCTTATGCTTTTGGATTTTTAAAACATAAAAATGATATTAAAAAAAATCTAACAACACCATAAAGGTCATGAAATCTTTGAGCAAATAAGGGATTAAACAGAAACTATTTTCCACGCACTCTATTGTCAACCAAAGAGTTTTTAGGGCCAAAAATGTTTATCAGAAGACAAGAAATATAACATAAACAAAGCAGTAAGTCACAAAACGCTGATGAGGCCAAAGTAGTCATCACATCTTACATTCAAGAATGAACGAAAGCTACTACTATATATATTTATAAAATTTATACAGTTAATTACAACATTGTTTATAAATATATAATGTGATCTAGAAAGAATATTAACAGCACTCTTTTATACCTTAAATTCGAGTGATTGATCAGAATAGTGACCCATTCAACAAGTTACAAGCATTTCATTGTAACAGGAGGCACAAATTCTACTAAAGTTCCTGTACATATTAAACTAGATTTTAATCTCCACTGAGAGTTATTGACTTACCCAAGCTGAAGAAGATAGGGCAGATAAAAATGACAGTATATATCTTGAATCCTCCACAGAGAAGTAAAGGTATCATACATGCCCTAAACACCAACTCCTCTGTTAATGGTGCCTGTTCATTGAAGTACAGTCAAGGACTGAGGGGGAACTTATTTGGATTGTTCCTTTAAAAATCTTACAATTGATCAAAGGACATCTAGTGATTAATGGAAATAATGCATGAATAGAGCCTCCATCAAATCCATTTCAAGAAATTTGAAAGTGAAGAAGACACTCATGTATTTCTACTAAATAAACAAAACACAGCTCAAAATGATAAAGATACATCGATCATTTGAGATTTAGGTAAGTTTATATAAACATATATTACAAACAAATGTATCAGCTTCTTTTTCAGTTTGGTAATGCATCATCTTTCTTTGATTATTGTTAATATTATGTTTTCCGGCAGACTTTTACATCCTTAAACCAGTAATGAAAACATTTAACATTCAAATGGAAAAACCACAAGTAATAAAACTAAAGAAAACACATTTACATTTATTTACAAAGATAAATTAAAATGTTGAAAACACTAACCACAACATAGTTACGCCAAGCTAGAAGATTGGATGCAATAGAAAGCAAGTAACTGAGGAATGTTTGGGTTATACTTTTGATGCGGTCAAACAAAAACTCTCCACCATTATCAAAGTCTGTCTTCCATGAATTCACCAACAACAGACACTTGAGGACCAAACTTCCAGCATACATAAGAGAAGTGAGGAAAAGAGGAAAGACCACAGCTTGCCACTGTTTCACACACAAAATTGCATTTCAGCATGCAAATTTAGGAATCAGACACCCTTTTCCAAATCTGCAGACCATACAAGAATATAAAGATAATTAAAAAGTGCAAACAAATTGCTCCTCACTAGCACCCAAATCATTATACTCACAATATGATCCGCTCGAATGCCATACACACTAAATATATCCGATGCCTCCCCACTTCTTACCTAGCATTATTAAATTTTTTTGAAATCAAAGTCAGTTGGGGAAGTAATTGGATTTACAAAGAATAAAAGTAAGTTCAAGTTACAGTTGAGCTTACAGGGAGTATGAGAGCAGAGAAGAGAAGTGAGAGGATAGAAGCAATAGCAGCGCATATGAAGCGTCTGATGAGGAAATTGTTAAGAGATGAAGGAGGAGGGAGACGCAATATCAGAGTGGGAGCATAGAGAATCGCAACATATAACAATGTCATGAATATGCAACCAATCACTGCCACTGTTTTTGAAACACACGCTTCCATTTCTGGTTCCATTCTGAGATGAAAGAGGCAAAGAGGTTTGGGTTTGTTTTCAGTTTTATTGTGAGTTGACTTGTGCCTAGTTTTTGGTATCGTTAATTCTTGCAAAGGAGGGTTTTCTCTCGGTCCACTTCAGCACACTGCGACCCTAGCCCCAGTCCGTAGATCATGTTTGCCGCAAAGGTCTCATAGTATGAGTTAATTACACTAACCTCCCCGTGAGGTTTCAATATTTTACGTAAGCATAGAAAAGATGATTAGATTAACACAGACACCCCACTCGGTTTACTTCTGTTAGGGCTTTGTTAATTGAGAAGTTTCCTTATACCCCCTCAAATATAAAAACCATACAATTACCTCTACTAAGTACTAACTAGCCAAAATACCCTTGATGATGCCTCCACCTTTTGCAATAACTTTATTCCCATAGATATTTCAAGATTTAACCATTATATCCATGTAATTGGATAAGAAAAATTCATATCGTTCTTAAAAAAAAAAACATAAAATAATTAATTAAAAACACTTATGTAACACCCACATTGAGGTATGTAACTTCATTTCCCTTAGTTGTAATGTTTACTCCAAGATGAATGCATGAAAGTTAGCTTGAGGAAAATTTTTCATAGTTTGCCGCGGCAAAGGAATTTTGCCGTGGTGGCAATGAACTCTCAACCCAAATTCATGGCAGAAAATATAGTCTTCACCGGGGCAAAGAACTCACTGGAATTTTTGAGAAAATTCTGGAAAATTTGCTTAAGGGCAAAATGGTCATTCCACCTATAATTAGTTAAAAGTGTGGGGAGTGAAAAGAAGTAGAATTACATGGAGAATGCAATGGAAATGAGGACATTATTGTAATTGACTAAGAGACATAGATGGAATTTCATAGAAAGTGCAAGGGTAAAATGGGAATCTATAAGTATTATTATGTTATATTAAGGATGGAAGAATGAAACCCTAGCCACTTTTCCCCTCCATTCACGTCACTCTCCACCCAAATTCTCTCAAATTTCTTCAATCAATCTCCAAGGAAATTCATAAAGTTTGGTTCATTTTTGGTGGAATTTCAATCCAAAGCATCCCTAGGGTTTAAGAGAAAGAGAGTTGTATTAAAGGAAGACTAAAGTGTTTGGGTTGCTCACATCTAAGGTAAGTAAATCCAACCCTAGTTATGATTTGATCAAGAACTGTCTAGAGAAAATTCTTATATGTATGTATGTGTTTGTATGTTGAGAGTTGTTGATGGAATTGATGTTGAATGATGAGTAGAATTCAGCCATGAGAAGGAGTGTTTGTGTATATGGTGTTTGGAGGAAGTTTGAATGAATTATGGAAGAATTGAAGTAGAATTTGTGAAGTTTAATTCCTGGTCAGGTTTGATGTTGGTTTTAAGGAGTTTTGCTCCAAATTTTGGTGGCTTGAGAGGGATGTAGAAGTGTAACCAATTTAGAGTTTGTGTGTGTGCATACAAATTGTTTGATGAAATGTCAAAGAGAAGTGCATGCATGGATATGATTACTTGTTATCTCGATATGAGTTTGTAGATGGTAGAGAATGACATGTACACATGCCATATTTCATTTTTCCATCTAAACATGTGAATTTAGAAAGAATAACAAGCATAAGCCCATCTACATGTATACATACAAGCATTAAAGAACAAAGAGAAATGAAGAAACCTATTAAAGAACACTTTTGAAGAAGAGAAGAGAAGGTTGTTGCGATGAGAAACCTGTGAGTGATTAGCCCCACATGCATGCTGCCTTTAGTGAGCGGCCTCAGAATAAGAAAGAAGAATTTGTACAGTCCGTTAGAAGTGCATGTGGATGGGGATTGTACCCAGAAAAAATTTGAGAATACACTCACACAGCCAGGGTTCCGAATCCATGCCTCAATCGATTCTGATCGGTAAGAAAGAATAGAAAGAAAGAAACACAGAAAAGAAAGAAACACAGAAAAAGAAATAGAAAACAGAATAAGAAAACAAAGAAACAAAAATGAAAATGCATATCCTATGCATTTGTGCATATGCATTATACCTATGTATGATACCATTCCCACTATCCTGGGTAAGTGAGAAACCAGAGTTTTAGAAAGAGCAGAGAAGAAAAGAGAAGTTTGATGTAAGGAAAGAAATTCAAAATATGAGCAACGGAGATAGAAGAGTAGCATAGTGGGTTTACTTACTGAGCAATAAGTGTTCACTCTATTAATTTCAATGTTTTTACAGGTAATAGATGAGATGGGGTCGGTTGGAACGTCAAGAAGCGGAAGAACTTGACAACACTGTCTGATTGTAATTTGAGTTTATTTTTGTGAATTTATGACTGAGTGTAGAGATTTGTGTATAAAGAAAAATTACTTATGGGCGCTCTATTTCATACTCATATACATATATATTTTCTATAGTATGTTTAGTGAGTTTTACTTTATATTTCACAAGTACACTAGCTAGAGAGAACTATTACAACTTATATTTCTTTTTAAATTTTATTTGTAAACTAAAAAATTTTAAAAAGTTGAAATATAATTTTTAAATACTTCTTTGTAATTTAATAAATAAGGAATCAAAAATTAAAATATTTTATAAATAAAAATATAAAAACTAAAAAAAATATATATATACAGTACTTTTTAAAATATTTTTTTGTCAATTGAAAAACGATAAAAATTAATTATATTTACACCTCCTACAGTCAATTTTTGGTGTTAAAGTTAATAAAGGAGGGGTGAAATAGTCCTTTTATGTTAAAATACAGAATTATAAATTAAATATTTCAAATTAACAAATTAATATTTAGAAAAAAAGTCTTAAAAATAAATTACATTTAACATTTAATAAAGATCGTTGCAACCTCCATTCTTAGATCATCGATCTATTTTTTTTTTTCAATTTACAATATATATATATTTTAAGGTTTATTTTAAATTTTTTTTCCAGTTTTTATATTTTACTTTACAAAACATTTTAGTTTTGGATTCATTATTTATTAATTTTTTAAAAAATTATATTTAAAAATTATGTTTCAATTTTCTTAAATTTTTTTTTTAGTTTAAAAATAAAATGCTAAAATAAATATTTGTAATTTTTTTATCAATAAATTGTTTTGAAAGAAATACAAGTGAGTTAGTGGGGGTAACTGTTAGGTTTTTATATTTGTAGGGTTATAAAGGAGCTTTTTAGTCAGCGGAGCTCTAAGAGAAGTTAACAGAGTGGGGCATCTGTGTTAACCTAGTTTTTTTTCTATGCACATGTGAAATGTTGAAACCTTAGGGGAGGTCAATGTAATCAATTCCCATAGTAATAGCATTGCTAAGTGCTAACTCAATAACACAAATCGATATTAAGTCTCTATTGTCTTATATAATAATTAACTTAGGACAAAAAATTAAGTTAACAAATAAAAGAAACAAGGGACAAAGTGAGAGGATTGAGAGATGTGGGACTAATCATACATTACTGCCTTTAGGATGCGTTTAGTTCGGAGAATATTTTATTGTTGAAAATGTAGGATTACTAGTGAAATATGTTACCTTGAAGATTATGGGGAAATGTTATATCAATATGTTTGGTTAGATTGCTGAGTATAAATAATTAAAATGTTTGGTTGGGAGGAATAAGATATTATCGACAAAGGCTTTTATTGAATTGCCCTTCATTTTTAATAATAATAAAAATAATTATTATACAGGTTACTTTTAACCCCCTACATTTGAGAATTTAGCTAAAACACTGCAACAACAAAAGTTTAAATTTGAACAAAATACCCCCAACTACTGTCGACAACCGACCACCATTGCCGATAGTCACCAAAACGGCACACAACTAGCCGTGCACCGATCTGGCAGTTGCCAGCCATATCAAAGGCCGAAAACAGTCAGATGGCCATGGATGTGGCCATTTTTTTACCAGATTCAAGGTCGTTAATGGCCAGAGAGGCCTAAAGATCCAAGGCCATTTGGCCGTTTTCAACCTTTAATCTAGCCATAAATGACCATATCGACGTACGACCGATCAGATCCAGCTGATCATGAGTCATTCTGACGATTGCCGGTGACCGACAATTGTCTGCAATGGCTAAATAATTTTGGATGGTATTCATATAAATAGTGAGGGGCATTTCTGTCCAAAAAATTAATTTATGAAGTTATAGAAGTCATTTTCCATAGTTGGACTAATTGTTATTTGATAGACATATGAGGACATTTGTGTCTAAAGTGTTTTGTAATTGAGTGTAAAATTGGTAGACCTCGCAAAATGGGTGGGTTGGCCAAGTATGGTTCGGGTCCAACGGGTATGGGTTCAACAGATACGGGCCCTAAATGGCTTGGTTCTAAACGAGTCCAATATATCAAATTTGCTAGTGTTTTTCTTCTTTGCCAGCGTCGCCGCCTATTGTGGCGTTATCGTGAAGCTCCCTTGCCATTTTTCGCTTTCCCAGCCAACCCTTTCGTCGCTGTCTACGTTGTGTGCCACCACCACCACCCTTTTTTTTCCAGCTGCGTCTCCCCTAGCGTGATCATTTGTGACTATCACACGAACGAGCGCACGGCCCTCTGCCTCCCATTCCGGCAATGCTGCACAACACATAACCTTCCAAACCTCTAGCCGCCTTCACTTGCCCAATTGTCATTCGAAGACCGCCGCACCTCGCCTCTATCATGAGCCTGTTCGCTAAGTTTTTCTTTTGGGTTTCTTGGTTGCGATTTGAATGGTCATTGTTGGAGTTGATTAAACGGATATTTGTAGTGTTTTGAGGTTGAGGATTTTTTTTTTAAGTGATTTTTTGTTGATTGATTGAACACCTTTCCCCTGCACTTTGCCCACCAGGTGTTTGAAGAATTGCCCCAACGAATACCCAACCTTATGTGCGCAACATCATGAGTCCAAAACAGAGTTACAATTAAAAAAAAGTCGTACAAAACAGATTCAAAATAGAAGAGAAGAAATTACTCAATGTAGCCACAATGCCAAATGCAACAACTGATTTGTCTTCAATTAGGTGCTTGAG